TTAATCGCTTTAGGAAAAGGACTTCCAGCATTACATTAGAATGTTTTTTGTATAACTCTATAAATCCTGTATTTAAAGAAGTACTGTTGCAATAAAGAAACTAATTTGACCGCAGATGTTTTGCAGGGACATTTTGAAACACGTGGCTCTTATATCTGACTTGATTTGTTTGGACTTGCACGCGCTTATATAATGTGCTTTGCAACCTGTTACAGTTTTTATTATTAATTTTAGATATTTTTTTCACATAAAATTCTTATGCCCCCTTATTTGCTGCCTTCTCCTACACCCCTCAGAAAAGAAGCATGGAGACCTTCGTCTTGAGTGTAGATACGATTATGCTACGTCAGAATGAGAGGAAACGACTCGACTCCATTTGTGGTCGAATAGAGAGCTATGACGTCGTAGACAATAATAACGAAGAACTGGAGAAGGTGGGGTTATTCCATTCTAATAAAATGTAGGTTCTGGTTTAATTGAAAAATAACATGTAGTGAAAAACACTGCGGTGTGAAAATGTATTATTTAATAATTAATTTTGAGCGTATCATAAGCAATTACTATAAATTTTAGACTTTAAAATAATTATGACTTTAACAATGATATTTATTTTGCTCAAGGAAAACATTCTTTTGATAAATTAAAAGTCTGTTTAACCAATTACACTGTTGTTATTGGCTACAGGCGATGAGAGCATATGGCAGTTTACATCTAGATCTCACGTGTCCCATGCCTGGATGTGACACTCAACAAACAAGACAACTAATAAAAGAGGGCGCTGCGATCAAGCTGCGCGACTCGTCTTCTAGTAAGGTATAGTCAAGTATTTATTAAATATGTTAAGTATTCACAATACTCCAAAAATAGGTGGTTTAAATTAAGAAAATTATTCGTTATTTTTGTTATAAAACTAAAGAATCTTTGATCTTTTTTAGTATTATTAAAGGAACAACGTTAAGCAGTCCTGATATTCAATATGTTTATATTTAGAATAAAATCAATTGAAAGTGTAAACAAAAAATCAGATACGAAAACAAAAATCACGTCAATGGTTGAGAATTTTAGCTTTTACGTCATCTTGTTTAGATGGAAGTATACTGTTTTCTCTTCACGGACATGTTCCTCATCTGTAAGCCAGTGGGGAGGCGGGGAGACAAAGTGCGGATTATCCGACAACCCTACCTTATAGAAAGATTGATAGTTCAGGAGCTGAAGGATGGAGGGGGTTTCCTGGTCATTTATCTGAACGAGTTCCGGGTTGCTATAGCAGCATTCATCTTATACACTCACGATTCCAAGAACTGGTTAGAGAACATCAGAAAAGCACAGGTAAGAAACAAGTAGATTTCTATCTAGATACAGAAGCGGGCGAAGCTTATTCCAAGAAGCTTACTCATAATCAATACAAGTAAATCCGTAGTGTTTAAGTCAGTCTTTTTTATTGAAACGTTCCTCCAGAATTACCGAGTTGGGTTTGCTAATTAATTCTCGTGTTTCAACGATGCTGAACACGATGCCATGTTTGATACTTTCACATGCACTGTAAATCCAGTATAGTTTTGATTACGGGGAAGTCTAGAATGAAAACAACCTAAAAGAAAAAGACAGTTTCGAAAATTTAGATGGATTTACCAAATAAACCAATATTAATTTAAACTTATTTAAGTTTTATTCAAGATAATTAAACTATTTTTAACAGTATTTTATAGTTTGATTGTCCTGAAGTGTACAGAGTGAATTTTGTCTGAAAATTTTAAGATATTCCCAGGTAAGAATTTTGTAAACGCTGTATTTCATTTCGTGCCTAATTAAGTTCTCTAATAGTTGTGTTGTTCAAGTACGTTAACGGAATCACGGAAATATCTTTTATATCAGACCAGGGTCGTAGTGCGGTATCCCACAATCCTTTGAGATGAGTTTATTATATTCCTAATAACATATACAACATATATAAAGAAGAAGTATTACCTGAAAATACACGAGTAAAATATATATTTTACACTAGTTATGAAAGGGTGAAATACGATATCATCATCACACAATTACCACAAACGTATCTGTAGACAGTGCATGGCTATGAAAACAGACAAGGACCAAACATCTTTGCTTTTCAAAATGTTCTAAAACGATAATTTGAGAATAAGTTAACATTTAACTTGTGGAGAGGTATATATTTTGTATTTTTGGTTTTAGAAGGAATAATAAAAGGCAAGTTTTATTTCGTAGGAAATGTATCTAGGACCAGACACCATAACAATGGGGGGGGGGGTCCCCCTTTGTAGCTGGATTTATTGAGTACATTTCTTTGTCGATGTGATTGACTTTATTTATACATAACATTAATTATGTTCAATATCAAGGGCACATCGGACAACAGCTAAAAGTAAAAAAGCCTGAGCCAGTTTTTAACTTTTAATTTTAACCCATCTTCCTATCTGTGTTATCATTAATTAAGATTTCAGAGCCCCCGAAGTCTTAATTAATGATAAAACAATCGGGGAACATCTGTATTTAACTAGATGATCCATATAATTCAAAATGGTTTCTCTTCTTTGGTAACAGAAACAATCAACTTTTGGAATATCAGCTTCCTTTTTAATTTTCACTTTGGAACATGAATTATATTTGCTGGTTACCCAAGTTAACTGACATCAGTTTATATCGTCTGTCAACCAAAAAAAGACAACTATTCTTTTCACCAATTTTGGTAACTTGTTACTACACTGTCATGTACAACGTAGTACTAATCCTCTTAAACATAACTTATAATACATACCCATTCTGATATTACATAAAGCACAAAGTGGTCAAGTATTGTTAGCCTTTAGGTTTACTGGAGAAAGAAATAATACGTACAGTCATTATGTATGTGTTCTGAGAATGGTGATACGACACTGACAGGAACTAAATTGGACAAATGGTCCGATACAATTAGCCTGAACCGTCCATTAGAGCCCTACTACAACCACCTAGTTTTTGTACAAGTGCCACAATCAATCTTTTCAATGTTTTCGTAAAGTAAATGGCAGAGTTCTATATCCAATTCCTTGTAGTTGTACTTTTTGCCATTTCTCTTTTCCACTTTTATTTCAAGTCATTTAAAATAGTCTTTTGTCCTTACACTATTAAACATTATTCTTCAATTTAAATCCTCGAGCTGACTTTAGTCTGAAGTTCATTCATTCACAACAGAAAATAATTTTTTTTTGCAAAACTTCCTGAAACAAACAAATGAACTGTCACCTTGTTAGGACTTCTTTTCTTACTCTGGTCTCCTCTTTGACTACAGACCAATTTTCAGTCCCGAGAGTTTCGCTTCTGTCAACAAAATGACAAGAAAACTGGAGATGTGTGGTCAGCTCTTCACTTACTTTTTTTTTACCCTCTCACCCCCAAAGATTATTCATGCTTTATAATTTACTGTACATTTATATACATTTTATATGGTGGTTAGGGTGATCGACTCGAAATCTGAGGGTCGCGGGTTCGAATCTCCGTCGTACCGAACATGCTCGCCCTTTCAGCCATGGGGCATTATAATGTGATAGTCAATCTCGCTATTCGTTGGTAAAAAGAGTTGGCGATGGGTGGTGTTGACTTGCTGCCTCCCTTCTACTCTAGCGCAGATAGCCCTCATGTAGCTTTTGCACAAAATGTAAAACAAAACAAACCAATATACATTTTATAACTGCTGGCAACTTAAAATATGCTTATCAGTTTCCTTTTCTTACATTTCCCGTTTCTATTAGATTTAAGTAATGTGGATGCTAAAACGTCTATGAAGTTCCTTCTTTTCGAATCCTTTTCCAAATCACATGGATCATTTCACCACTACTGCTATGGTTACAACCACGCATTTTGTTCATACTCTGAAGTATTTATTGTTGACACTCATCAAGGTTATTCAACTAAATTGATGGCCAGGTGGTTAGGGCACTCGACTCGCAATTTGAGGGTCACGGGTTCGAATCTCCGTCCCACCAAACATGCTCGCCCTTTTAGCCGTTGGGGAATTATAATGTTACGGTCAATCCCACTATTCGTTGGTAAAAGAGTAGCCCAAGACTTGGCGGTGAGTGGTGATGACTAGTTGCCTTCCCTCTTGTCTTAAACTGCTAAATTAGGGACGGCTAGCACAGATAGCCCTCGTGGAGCTTTGCGCGATGTTCAAAACAAATCAACTAAATTGAAAAAGTTAAAGTGAGTGTTCTTAATCATTTTTCTGGATGTAACTTTCTGAAAACAAGATCTCTTCACATCTCAATGTTCAAGGATTGTCTACGAATTGGGTGAATATAGAACCATTGATATTTCTAAAACATTACATCAGTTAATTAAAAATACGTATTTAGACATTTGGGAGATCCAAAGTAGAGATTATAAAAAAAAAGTGTATTTTCTTTTGTCTCTAATTTTTTTGCTTTTTATCACAAAGAAAAAAACAATCTATAACTTTCTATTTGTTACTTTGAATTCTAAACTTTAGAATATCAAGACAGTTTTTCATATCTTTAATGAGCATTGAAACCAAGAAAAATACAATTTTTTAAAGTATTTTAATGACAATATTATGTATAATCCACATATATATATTTATTTATTTTTAATGTGTGTATTCTTTACATTGGTACAGCTCACTGATGGAGCTTACACAAACATTAAGATTCTGTTTTTAAGCACGCTCATCTGTTAATTTTCACACCTCCAGTGAATTAATAAAAGTATATACTTTTCAATAAAGATTCTTTCCTTTCCACAGAAGGCTTACCAGGATGCCAAAAGAAATTCAAAACGAAGTCCCGGTTTCATTCCACCAAAATATGTAGAAGATCCATTGAGCCATCTGGGTACTTTAAATAAACATTTCAACTCTAGTCAAACTAGCTTACTTCATTCTCCCAGGGAATATGTAGACCTATCCTTTGGCCCAACTTCTGCAGCATCTGGTGGAGGTCTTTTTATGTCACCAGTAAGTTCTATATTGATCTATACTTAGCAGACTTCTTTCATGTCCACCTTCCTCACTTCTAAGTAATCCATAGGAAGCGTCCCTTCATTGTGTTGTTGATGCCATACCAAAGCTGCAATCCGATTTTTTTGTCAGAATTTTAAAATGAGACAATTACCAATTTAACGATGTAATTCAAAGTGTAATAACACATTAAATACACTGAACAACTTGTTTAAAATTAACTGCATTCTATATACATTAGGTGTCGAAGATACTAAGCAACTAGCTAGCTTGAATTTTCTTTAATACAACTGCTGTAAGACTAATACTGAGGATGACGTTGTAACATCGAAACATGTAGTCGTCAACATTTTGAAGGCCATAGATAGGCCTAAATAAAATGTTTTTAATTGTGTACCAGTTTAACGTTGAATATTATTTATGATTTTAACTGACAAATACATTAATGATTATTTCTTAATCTATTCCGTTTTTGTTTGTTTTTTTCGTACATCAACAGATAATACCAAATCGCAATAAAGCCATCAGTTTCGAGCTTGGAAATCTCCGCAAACCTAGTTTAGCTAATAACAAAAGGCACGATAAACCACGTGCTCATAGCTTCGACACACGCTCTGGACCCGTATGCGTGACGGTGACTTCACCTTCTACTGACAAAGAAGCCATCATTCTTCACGGAAGAGAATCTAATCCAGTGAAACTCCAAAAGTCATCGAAACATCAAGAAGACTTGTCGAAAGCTCGTAATAATTCCCGGAACTCTATCACAACACATTCTAATCAAGTAAGTGACGATTCTTGCTTACGTCATTATAATGCTTGGAGACGGCTTGATCGGGTAATGAAGAAAAACTTTAATATAAGTTTAAGATAACAATTAATGTACAACGTTTCGACATCATCGTCATTCAAGCCGTCTCCAAGCATTATTAGTTTCAAAGTGGATTCCTCGTCATCGAATTTGGATTTACGTCATCATAATTGTTTTAATGGCACGCACTTTACTCGTGGAAAAAAAATGACGGAAATGTTTTTTAAATTACTCTACAGAACAACAAAATCGTGAATTTCGGCAAAAGTCAACATAAAGTCTCAAGATTGTTACTTCCGGTAAATATAACTTTTACGTTTATACTCTCAAGCCGTCTTACTTCCTTCTACGAAGTCCTACAGTTTTAATGACAGAATGCTTCAAGCAGCGCCTCGGTAGAGTTAGGAAAATAGGGCGTTAAATGTTACAGATCATGTAAAACAAGGTGTTTCCATAAGTTGTACGGTTCATAACATCTAAGCTGACCAAAAACTTGTTTCATAAGCCTAAGATATTGTATTTTGTAATGGCTGAATTAATGAATGAAACGCGTCGTAGAAAAAGGCACAAGTACAGTTAAAACACCATTATATGTTGTTCCTACTGGAAATTATGATAAGATTTATTAATGCAGTACTTCTGATATAATACCATACCTCATACGCGTTGAATTGTTATATCCACGTACTCATACAATAACAAATTTAATTAAAGTATAATAATCACACATGACAACAGTAACTAGTTTTTACACATAATCATCGTATCATCCAAGTGGCACTATGATGACTAGAAATCTCGTCATTTTAGCTTGCTGATTTAGGCTTAGATAATCGTACTCATACAATAACAAATTTAATGAAAGTATAATAATCACACATGACAACAGTAACTAGTTTTTACACATAATCATCGTATCATCCAAGTGGCACTATGATGACTAGAAATCTCGTCATTTTAGCTTGCTGATTTAGGCTTAGATAATCGTACTCATACAATAACAAATTTAATGAAAGTATAATAATCACACATGACAACAGTAACTAGTTTTTACACATAATCATCGTATCATCCAAGTGGCACTATGATGACTAGAAATCTCGTCATTTTAGCTTGCTGATTTAGGCTTAGCTAATCGAGTATTCCTATACGGACACTGTATACTAAAATCCGGTGTTATCAGTATCATTTTTAGTTAATACACCTCTCCAAAAGTTTCGGTCTTCTAATCGGACAGCGATAAGCGTTTGATTCCTTGTAGTGGACAGAACGCAGATAACCCATTGTGTAGCTATGAGCTAAAAGAAACTAAATAAATCCAAAAGTTTCGGTCTTCTAATCGGACAGCGATAAGCGTTTGATTCCTTGTAGTGGACAGAACGCAGATAACCCATTGTGTAGCTACGAGCTAAAAGAAACTAAATAAATCCAAAAGTTTCAAATTAACGTCTTTTACTCACCTTCTAATACATTAAAAACTTCATACAAACTTGTAAATAAACGAACATGCTTAAAGCAGTCTTGCGCCAAATAATATTGTCAGAGAATTAATTTACAAATATAGTCGAAACGGTTACGAATTGTAATACTTACAGTTTATCATTCAGCCTATGATTTGTGTTTTGTACCTGATAAACATGCAATGTTATTAATGTTCACAGGAACTTCATGTTTGATAAGAACATGTGTAAAGAAATATGAAATCTTTCGAATAATGAAGCAGGAATGATCTTTAAAAAAATAAGTTACTGATGTATGACTTTCAATGTTTTTCTCAATGAAAACAGATTCTTCAAAAGTCCCTGGTCTCAGATGGCTTACCTACAGCTACATTACCGCCCTCTAGTGAAGCAACGGTAAGGCAGGAAAGCCATTTCGAAACTACAATCCCACCCTCCGTTAGTACGAAAACGCCACAAGATCAGGTCCACAAACCTCCACTACTCAAGACGCGAAATGTGTCTAGTCAAGTGAGCCTCAGCCCAATGACAAGTACCAAGTCGACCAGCATTGGAAGTGGTACGATCGACTTGGGACTAAGCGAAAAGAGCGATGAAAGACGAAATACGAAAGGGGTAGTGGAATACCACAGGAGATGTCACACCACGGACTTCGTAGAAATACGGAAGAGGGGAAAAGAAATAGATGACGATATTCACAAACGTCTTTCGTGGAACGAGTGTAATCGCAAGAATGATATGATGGCGGATAACAAAGGAAAGCTGATTACACAAACAAATGAATATCACAGTTCTGAATCTATCTGTAGTTCTAGCGGTATAGAAAGTAATACGTCATCCACTATTAGCGTGGAAGAACACGATAACATAATGGAATCGCAAGGCCCTGGTCACTGTAGCCCTCGGCAACTCTCAGAGTCCGAACCATGTAGTATAGAAAGCCAACAGCCCCATTTTACGCTTAAGGTCAGCGAGGTGTTAGATGGAATTTCATCTGTACAAATTAACGTGGCTGGTGCAAGCAAGCTTAATTTTCAAAATATGAAGGAATTTATCTTGAACAGTTACTCCGTTGAGGCCTCGTAAGTTCCATTTTTTTTTTTATATGTATAATTCTAGCTTAGCGTTTCTCAAACTATGGGGAGTGTCTTCCCTAGGACTGTGCGGGATGCGTTAGGGATGCTTAGCAATGTAATTATATATATATATATATAACAATAACGCCAGGAACTTTTGTTTATCTTGCCAGGTGGTATGCTTTAGCAATCGTGACACGTCAGACTCAAGCTGCGCTGTTTCACCCGCGCAATATTCTGAATCGTAAATTTTAAGTAACTTGGGGAAGGCTCACCAAGCTAAAGTTTGAGAACCGCCTAAATTAAACTTTGAAGGTGAACATTCTCAGCGACTATGTTATTCGTAGAGATAAATATAAATTAGAGATATAAGAAGCACTACATTTATTGTAACAAGGATTACCATCTTTTCAAATATAAAATTAGAGACATAAGAAGCACTACATTTATTGTAACAAGGATTGCCGTCTCTTCAAGTATAAAATTAGAGATATAAGAAGCACTACATTTATTGTAACAAGGATTGCCATCTCTGCAATTATAAAATTAGAGATATAAGAAGCACTACATTTATTGTAACAAAGATTGGCATCTCTGAAATTATAAAATTAGAGATATAAGAAGCACTACATTTATTGTAACAAGGATTACCATCTCTGCAATTATAAAATTAGAGATATAAGAAGCACTACATTTATTGTAACAAGGATTGCCATCTCTGCAATTATAAACTTAGAGATATAAGAAGCACTACATTTATTGTAACAAGGATTACAATCTTTGCAATTATAATTTTCAGGTTTTAGAACAAGGCTATTTTGGTGTCCGATAGCCAGTGTGCAGTCAGACTATTTACTTGCACGTATCTGGTAATATAAAAGTAAACTATGCAGAGTAATAGGCGAAACGTTTGGTGAGTTGTTGACCACTAGGTGAAACGTATTTTTGTAATAAAATTTTGCGAAACGTACCTGCGCAATGTCCGATCAATCTTATGGGCATCAGAAATATATGTAACAAAACAAAATTAAAAACCCAAATAATTTTGTTTTTCGGGCACCCTTTCTCTACAGAAAGGAACTGCTGGATCAACCTCTGAAAAATCCCGTGAGGGAAGAGTTGGCAACTTTAAATTGTAACTGGTTTATCAAACAAATTATATAAATGTAACTGGACAGAGAATGGTAAAAGGCCTGGTTTTAAAGTATTCTATCCTATTGAATGGTTAAAATTGAGTTACAATACGAGTTTTTATATTTGTAAAATATTAAGATATGCACAGTTAGTTTGTAAAGTGCGTCGTAAGATATTAAAATATGCACACTTCAGTTGTGAAGTGCGTCTCATTAGGTTTTATTGTTTTCAGGGATGTGTGAGTGAAAAGGAGGTGTGAAACGTGAAGTTTAAAGCTGTCCAATTCGACAGAAGTGAAGACCCACTCTGTTGACCGAGGTGCTTTTACTTAAACATGCCAACAGAGAGGATGTTTGGGGGGGGGGAACAAACTTACGTAACAAGAGCGTTTAAAAGTCATTGAGAAATTACAGACACTTGTCCTAAAATTAGTATCAAGTAATTACTTGATAAGCCAAAGTAGAATTATAATCCATATAGTTTGTACATGCATCCAAGATATGGCATCTGTTGCCATAGCAGCCTACAGGCAGCTGTGTGACGTCACGAAACTGGCCTCACCTCTCTGTCGTTTGTAATTGTATGTTCAGAAAAAAAACAACGTTTATATGTAAAATTATGTATACATAACTGCAGTATGACTTCGTGTATATATATACCAATGTTAAAACCAAATATTCTATGTGGCATAAATGATTATGTATAAACAATACTGCTGTTGTTTTAACATTTATATTAGTATATATCAATGTTAAAACCAAATATTCTATGTGGCATAAATGATTATGTATAAACAATGCTGCCGTTGTTTTTACATTTATATATATATATATATATATATATCAATGTTAAAACCAAATATTCTATGTGGCATAAATGATTATGTATAAACAATACTGCCGATGTTTTAACATTATTGTTCGAAACAATTAACCCTCGTTAACGGCATACAAAGTTCAAACGATGTGTTGTACATATGTTGAATATAAATTAAGAAACCGCGACGATTTAATACTCCTCAGTTGTTGATGTATTTATAAACCTGAAACTTTTATTAACATGCTGATTTTCTTTTCTTTTTACAACGTTTAAAATAAGAAAATTATATTCACGTTATTCTGTTTATTTCATCAAGCGATATAGTTATTTATATTTTGGATTGTATAATTTAAAATCATTGTTTCTTATAACTTTGTTGCGCTCTAACCCTAATGGCATGGCTTCACTAGTCTTTATTATTTAATTTCAATTTTTAATTGTTTTATTTAATTATAATAGTAATAATTATAATAATAGCTACTGCTGTGTCTAAGATATTTACAATGATAACATTTTGTATCAGTTGCTTACAAGTACAACCCAACTATTAAACCATTGTAGATGGCGCTAGTCATGCCAACCTATGATGACTGGTTTAGCCGTTTAAAACTTGTGTTTTGCAACGAAACTTCGTGTACAAGCGTTGTATCTGTACAAATTTGTTTTTGTTAAGAAATATTATATAATATACATGTAAACATAGATAAAAATTAATAAGTATGAGGGCAATCACTTATTTTACTAAAACAACTGCAAACACATCATAAGAAAGAGCAGTTTTAGATTGCAAAAATATAAGTTGATGGAATATATAAAAAACATACACATAACTAGCATATATAGTATACAGATAAATAACATTGCGAGTTAAGTTAGGACCCTGTTTATTTCGTTCTGGTTTATTATACAAATATTTGTAACATTTTACACTCTTATTCCCCCCTCTCCAAGTGTGGGAGTGTGCACACACTGTGGGTGAATATGTAAAACTAAAAAATGATCCGCGGTTTTAATAAACAAAGACTGTATTGGTATGGAAAAGATTTATTCTCATTAACCAAAGTGTGATGAAACAAACAACGTATATTGAGATTTTACACTACATATAACGTTCCCATATATTACAGTGTTTGCATCTTAGTAATTGGTACAGTGTTTTCCTGGTGTGGCATTTTAAAAATGACGAAAAACCAAGATATTCCTTACTGTATAAAGCTACGTTAATAATATCCATAACGTCACGAGTAAGTAGAGCTACATTAACAACGCCCATAACGCTACGAGTAAGTAGAGCTACATTAACAACGCCCATAAAGCTACGAGCAAGTAGAGCTACATTAACAACGCCCATAACGCTACGAGTAAGAATAGCTACATTAACAACGCCCATAACGCTACGAGTAAGTAGAGCTACACTAACAACGCCCATAACGCTACGAGTAAGTAGAGCTACATTAACAACGCCCATAACGCTACGAGTAAGTAGAGCTACATTAACAACGCCCATAACGCTACTAGTAAGTAAAGCTACATTAACAACACCCATAACGCTACTAGTAAGTAAAGCTACATTAACAACACCCATAACGCTACGAGTAAGTAGAGCTACATTAACAACGTCCATAAAATAACGAGATTTATTACATTTGTTATTTATTATTATTCAATGATAACTAGCTTTCTTAACATACTACGACAATTATTCAAGTATTGTACAATTCAGTTTTACAACTGCACAAGACTTGTCAGTTGTCACACGATACGTGTATCAGTTGTCATATGATGCGTGTCTTATCAGACACGAGACAATTAAATAACATTGTTTAGCTTCGTCAAAATGCGCGATTTGTTTCGGGTCGAGGAGTACGAAATTCAGACATTTAAAAGAAAAGATTGTAATGAATTATTTAAACATTATAATGTCATACGGAATGTCAAAATATTTCATAATGCTTCTTATTACATGTTATTTCCATACAGCATGAAGTGGCAAATTCTTGTGTGTGAACCCTGCTTATTGATTCAATGGCTTTGTTTCCGGAAAAATATAGTGCTGACATGTGAAAATGTTTCCTACACTGAAATAGATTTATTATAAATACACACCACATATAATTTTAGTGAAACACACAATAATTTAAACTTGTAGGCGAAGTGTCAAAGCGAACTGCTACATTACGCCTGATTAATATTGTCAATTTTAGTTTTTATCCCAATAGATAAATACACTGTTAGTGTTTGTGTACCTCGTAAATGTCCGGGAACTCACCCATATAATATACAAAAACTAAATTATAATTCTTGTTTTAACACTTTGCAATGTATTTTTTTTTAAAGTTACTATGTACGGTATAAAGATGGCAACCGTGACGTCACAATGACGTTACGAAAGGTATTATGTCTCAGCTTGTTTTCCAAGATTGAGCAACTCTTCTGCACTAGAAGAGTTTTATTGAAAATGATGCAAAAACCAAAAAAAAAAAAACTTCAATAATATTCTACATTTCCTATTATTTTCGAAGACTGATGACAATCTTTGTTATGTTAAAACGCAAAGGAAAACTTTCTGAAAAAGTCTATGCCCACTTACAATAAATTTTTCTAACAACATCGGCGAATGACCAATTGGCATCATTTATTTAATTATTATTATTATTTTTACAAAACAATGCTTCGGTAGTCAAATAATTTTACTTAGTCAAACTTTCTCGATCTTAACCTCATACGCCCTCTAGTTAACATTAAATTAAAACACTGAAAATATAAGACTTACAACATTATTCCACTCGAACGTTGCTGTCATTGTATGAACGCAACATATGAATATCTGTACGAGCGGACGCTTCATTTATCATTGAGTATGTTATTAAACCAGCAACAAATTCCATTTCAAAATCTTCCAAACAAAAAATCACAAGGCGTAGCAACCAAACAGATAGCGACGACACTTGCACGCGGATACAAGAAGTCCACACATTAGAGAAAAACAACAGCAAGTAAATACACCTAGAAACACCATACAAAATAATACAAAAATAATAAAAAGAACTAGTATACTTTCTGCTCAAAACAATAAACATTATTGCAAGGATTTGTGGAAATATCTTAAACGCTACACAGACAGTGCTCCACACTTGTAATTAATGTACAGTACTTGTACGTCATATACTAATGAACAAAAAGTCGACATTTTTAAGAACTGTCTTCGTATGTGTCCTACGTTAACGTGCGTTACCGACTCCAAAAATCGCGTTCAACACTTTGGGGCCGTGGGTGTGTTATAAGTGTGATGGTCGTACCCCACTATTCAGTCAGACAATAATTGGTGAGTGCTGTTGACTATAGCTGCTTTTCCTCTAGTCTATCAATGTTCAAATTTAGGGATTATCACAGATGATCCCTGCGTAGTTTTGTGCGAATATCAGAAGACGAAAAACATACTTAGCACTAAACGATAATTACGTGTACATGTTTTCTTCCAAGAAGGTAAATACATTCAAACACAATATATCTTTTTTTATTATTATTATTTTCACACTACTTTCTGGTGTCATTTACACACAATATACAGCAAACGTTAGACGAGCAAGGCCTGCTGGTATATCAATTAACTCAACCAAACAAACACATCAGACATAAATCAAAATAATTAGAAACTTCAAAAATAAAACTTCAGGCCAAGATTACGTAATTATTATAGTATTAAAAAGGGCAATCAGACAATTCTTGGACATTAACAGTCTTCTCAAAGTGTCAAATATATGGTCGCTTTCAAACCCATTTACTTTCAACAGGCGCGGATTCGCACGTCGGGAAAAATCTCGGTGGACCACCTTCGAATATTACGTAAAAAGATTAATGCTCTGTCAGCACAATACCAAAATAATTATTTGCCTATTGTCATTACATTAGCATTTGAATTATAATTTGTGATAATTCTATTAATAATGATGTGCATCAAAAAGGGTTTACTTGACAATATTTCTTGTGAAAGTGTCAGTTTTATGGGGCTGGAGTCTTTACAGTAGGTGTCTGTGACTTACTGGCGATAAATTCGAACAATAAACGGACAGCGCACAATACACTTGTTTTAAAATAATATATTCAAAACAAGTCAAACGTATGTACAAAATTTATTTACACAATAGGATATCACAGTTGTATCTAAAACTCAATAATTATCTTTTCTTGTCAGAAGTACAATATGTTTCTCAAACAAACACCCCCCCCCCAAAAAAAAAAATCACAGAAATTCAGAAAATCCAAATCTAATCAGTTCCAGATATGTATAATATATGCCTATATACTTCATTTGTAATAAACGGGATGAGTGGTACTCTAGATGACTTGGTTCACAAAGATATCTAAGAGCTGAAATTGTATCAATTCATAAAATAACTAGAGCCTGAACAATACTTAATCAATTCAAGTCATGCACAATTCTCATCTTTGGTCTCAATTTCAAAGAAGTGTGGCAAAGATATGGATATCGCGTTCAGAAGATTTGTTTCAGACGGACATATTATATATTTATTTCTTTATCATGAAAAAATGGAAGAATGTGTTTTTGAAGTTATTTGGTCTTCCAATTCATAAAAAAAAAATCATAAAATAACTAGAGCCTGAACAATACTTAATCAGTTCAAGTCATGCACAATTCTCATTTTTGGTCTCAACTTCCAATTTATATATATATATATATAATGAAAAATGGAAGTTATTTGGGCTTCCTATTCTAAAGTAAACGTTTTTCCGTTCTTATCAGACCCCAAACTCGACATTTAATTAAACATTCACAGAACACGCCAAAAGAACACAAGATGTTTGACATTATAGAAATTTACTCAATAAAAACGACAGAAACTGTTCAACTTCTAATAGCACTTTCAGTTATAAAAAATACGCAATCTTTATCAAAATTAAAAAAAAGAGAATAATCAGTCATGAGA